TTCCATTGTGATGTGGTTTGCTGGCGAGCAAGCCTGCAGAGCTTTCGTGCAGTATCTGTCCTAGAAAGTGGTAGTCACAGTTTATGATCTTCTGTGTGGGCTGAGCAGGCAGCTTGATCGGCCCGTTCATTGCCAATGATTCCGCAGTGACTGGGCAACCACTGAAATGTAATTTGGTGCCTTTTCTCAGTCAGGTGGTGTATAAACTCTGCTATCTCTAGTACCAGCTGCTCGTGTGGTCCACGGCGTAAGGCTGATAGTAGAGGCTGCAGTGCCGCCTTCGAGCCGCAGAAAATAGTCCACTTGTGTGTAGGTTGATCAACTACAAATTGCAACGCGGCAAGAAGTGCTGCCAATTCCGCTGCCGTTGATGTTGTTGCGTGAGATGTCTTGAATTTAATTGTCGTGGCCAACCTTGGTATCACTACTGCTCCTGTAGAGCTGTCCGGCTGAATCGATCCGTCAGTGTATATATGTGTGGAGTCTTGATATTTCTCATACAAGAGAAGTAGTGTGAGCTGTTTAAGAGCCGGTGACGACAAATTGACCTTTTTCTTGACGCCAGGTATGTTAATATTAATCATTGGTTGTGCGAGGCACCATGGCGGAGTCACAGGTCTAGCGGCAGGAGAGAAGGAAGTTGGGATCGACTCACCATGTGCGGTCACTGTTTTGCAGTAAGATGTGCATGGTCGGAGCACTGGTAGAGAGGCTAGGTGATGTGGAGGGGTTCGAGCAAGGTGTCGTATATGTGTCCTCAGCATCTCCACATTAATGTGGGTCTTGATGAGGTTGTCCCTTGTGATGGCGATAGTTTCCGCTGTTGACGCACTTTGGGGCAAGCCTAAACATATCCGGAGTGCTTGAGCCTGGACACTTTGAAGCATTCGTATGCTTGTTTTACTTGCGTTAGTTAACACAGGTAGGCTGTACCGAAGGAATCCAAGAAAAAGAATCCTGTATAGTCGCAACATAGCAGTTGCGGATATTCCCCAGTTCTTTCCAGCGAAGAACTTGAACGAATGACAGATGCCTGTAATCGTCTTTTCATGTATGATACATGTGAGCTCCATGAGAGGTCTCCGTCAATTATAACACCTAGGAACGTGTATGATCGGAGGTGACGTATCCTTTCGCTGTTTATCAGAACGCTGTAGTTCTGCATTGGTTTGCGCGTAAATGCCACAAGTGCACATTTCTCAGAGGAAATTTCCAGACCTCGTTGACGGAGGTAAGAAGCAACTTGAGTGGCAGCTTTCTGAATTCGCACTCGCAGCTGTAGACGTGTTACTGCAGACGTCCAAACTAAGATGTCGTCCGCGTACATTGACAATCTGACAGTACTTGGCAGATGCTCATTGAGAGCTATTAGCGTGAGGTTGAATAGTACAGGGCTAAGTATGCCACCCTGCGGAACACCACGGTGGCTGTAATGTAGCGAAGTGTCACTATCCTCGGTTCTCACGAAAAAGCATCGCTCATAGAGATAGCTGCGTAGCCACTGAAACATCCGACCACTCACTCCTACCTCCTTGAGAGTGGTGAGAACAGCTTCATGTGTGACGTTATCTTACGCCCCTTTAACATCAAGAAATAAAGAAGCGCAGAGACGCTAACGGCCTTTTTCGTGTTGCACGTAGCTGATCAGGTCTATGACGCTATAAATTGATGACCGGCTACGGCGAAATCCCGTCATAGTGTCCGGGTAGATGTTGTTATGCTCCAGGAACCATTCTAGCCGTCCAATTACCATCCTCTCTATCACTTTGCCCAAGCAACTAGCCTGTGCAATCAGGCGGTATGATGTGAGCACCAATGATGACTTGCCAGGCTTCAGTAATGGAACCAAACGGCTGGTCTTCCAGTTAACTGGGAGGGTGCCCTCTCGCCACGAATCGTTGTATATCTCGAGGAGGGCGCTCCTCGTGCACTCACCAAGGTGACACAGTTCTCTGTATGATATTCCATCACGCCCGGGTGCTGATGTCCGTCTACACAAAGCCAGTACTGCTTTATGCTCGTGAATGGAAAAAAAAATTGGTCCATGTGGTGATCGTGTAGTGTCGTGCCACCACGTGTGAGCGTGGAGATGTTGGGATCTGCGAGTTGACCAGATAAGTTGGCACAGAACTCTTCTGCCACGTCGACCTCCGATCTTTGTTGAGAGAGGGCTAGAGCCTTGAATGGAGACCGCTGAATGGGAGCTGTCTGGAGCCCTCTTATTGTCCTCCACAAGTTTGATAAAGGCTTGCGAGGATCTAACGAAGCGCAGAAGGCTGCCCAACGTTGTGACTCTAGCTTGTCTATGCGGCGTTGTATCTTCTTCTGAAGACGTCTAGCGATTCGTAAATCGTTCATTGCTTTCGTGCGTCGGTACCTTCGTTCCGCACGCCGTCGGAGAGCCCGAAGTCGTTCTAATTCCACATCAAATTCGGTTACTCTCAAAGAGCATGTGAGGGTGCACACTGTGTCTTGCACTGTAGACTTGATCACCTCTTCTAAGTCAAATGAGGTGTTCTCTTGACAGCGTTTTTCCATGAGAGATTCAAACTTGGTCCAGTCCACACTTTGGATAGTTTCGCTTACCTTGCAAGGTGATAATCCTCTGATCTTGACATATGTGGGAATGTAGTCGCTCCCATGTGTTTCTATATCCGCAAACCATCCGGCCCATCTGACGAGACCTCGAGAAACAAAAGCCAAGTCAAGGCAACTGCTGTATCCAGGACCACGTAAAAATGTGGGGCTGCCATCAATTAACAAACACAGCTCGTTATCTGAAACAAACGTTATCAGACTTCTACCCTTCGCGTTGATCTTCTTGCTTTCCCATAGCGTATGGTGGGCGTTAAAGTCTCCGATGATCACCCATGGGCCAGGAGTGGATGATAGGATGTGTCCTAGTCTTCTGTGGTCAAATCTACTTGATGGCGACAGGTATGCACCGACAACAGTGAGAATAAGATCCTTTTTCTTCACTGTTAGGCATATATATTGGTTATCGTTGTCAGGTGGTACAGGCCGAGGAATGTAGGTCAGGTCACGTCGAACAAACAGCAGGACCTTGCTGTTTCCACTATAAAAGCCGACACAAATTATTCGTATCCGGAGAGTCTGATAGCGCTCGATAAATTTGGCTCGCAGATGACGATGATGGGAAACATATTGGTGGAAACGAACCAACGGAAATCTGCAATGCGTGATTTCAGTCCCCGTGCATTCCACCGAAAAATTATTGCTTTTTTGACCCCTTCCCTGAAAGATAGTGGCTGGTGGGCCATTATCTACTCAAGAGCCGCCAGTACTCGACTCAGAGCGTCCAGTACTTGAAGTGCACTTCTGGCTGACGTTGTACGCATGTTGTTTAACACCGTGCGAATGGCGTTAATTATGAGTCGTAGAAGAGCAATCACTTGTTTATCCAAGTTCCACTGCTCCTCTGTTGTCGCAGCTTGCTCAGATGAATGCGGCTTCTGATGCGGTTCTTCCACAAGTTGCGTGCGCGTAATTGGCGGCCACTCTTCAGTAGAGAGAGATCTACTTGTTTTCTCTCTTCCATCGTCTGCGTTCGCCGCGGTGTACCCTGCAGTGGGCGCCATTCCCAGATGCGATGACTTACTTCTTGTAGTTGACTGTGTTCTTCGCGAAGATCTTCGACGGTGACATCGTCGTCTTCGCCGGACTTTTTCCGCGGCCTCTTTGTGGGTAGAGCTGTCTCGGACCATTTGTTAAGAATAGTAAACTCCTTTTTTATGCGTGGACAGTCTTTGGAAGATGCACTCTGGGCACCTTGACAATTAGGGCACTTTAGTATGGTTGCGCTGTATTTGTCCTCGGTGTGTGGTTCTGAGCATCGGGGGCACACTCCGGAGTTCCTGCACGCTCCCTGCACATGGCCGATCTTCTGGCACCTATGACATCGCATAGGTTTTGGAATAAATGGTCGGACCTAGTGACGAAAGTGGCCAACCTTCACGTGGGAGGGGAGACAGTCCCCTTTAAACGTAATTCTCACACAATGTGTGTTACCAAGGCGGCTGACATTCACAATGACGTTATCTTCATTTGCCGGTTTTATTAGCACTGAGAGATCCGACTTTGGAATTTCAGTGACGATGTCATAAATGACCCCTGTTGAAGTGGTGCTATCAGCTGGTATTATAGACTTGACATCGATGTTACCCAGTTGCGTTACTTTCTGAAGCACGTTTAGCGCACGTGGGTTGAGCACATCGATTGCCAAGATGTTCCTTCTTGCGTTTAGACGTACTTCTTTGATCTCATTTGGCGTAATATTTTCGAGATACACAGAGAGCGCTTGCCTGTTGAGCCCACGTAGACTGTCGGTAGCCTTCAGCGGCACAAACTGGATAGAGTGAGGCCATCGCTGAGGGGCGGTTTTCACGGTGGTCGTGCTTGATGCCGAAGATGCATTGACGATCCGTCGTTTAGCCTTGCGGTACAGAACGGGTTGGAAGCCGTCGTCCGAGGACTCGTCGCTTGATGCGGAGTACAGCTCAGTGTCCTCACTCTCACTAGACGCGTTTCCTCGCTTCCTCGAAGCAGTACCAGCGGTCGAACCGGACCCGGACGGTGCCCCGTGAGGTTGAACATCCATCACCACAATATATGGGGTGATAGACTCCACAACTGCGGCGAAAAATCCAGAAAAGCACAAAGACGAGCAAGGTGTGTTCTGTAAACGAATCACTTCGTCTTCCTTCCTTTGTTAATGATACTATAACGTCTGGCTACGGGGGATTAAATCATCAAGACTAAGTAAAGAAAACAATTTTGTTCTCAGTCTTTTTTTTCTGTTTTTCGAGAAATAGTGCATCTGCAATATGTGAACGTTCAAAAGGTATTGATAAATACCCATCTATACCTCAAATTCTCAAATAACTATACCTTGCAAAACAGCATCAGTACGTTAATATTCAAATATTGGTCATATATAGGACTGCGTTAAAATGAGAATTTGTCACCTCTTGTTTTTGCAGTTCTCGTTGCTGTTCTTATGCTGGAATGACAGGGAGCCTGTATTGAGGCTGGTGGGTACCCCTGCTATTGCTCTGCTTTTTTTCTGTACAACATATCTGTTATAATTTTCGCTAAACGATAACACGTTCGTGCACAATGGGTATACCATAACTGCCCTCTACTTTTCTAACGCGTGTGACACAATAACATGGCTTGCACACACTCTGTTCATCCTCTTCAACTTTTCGGCATTGCTCCCCAAACATATGTACCTGGCTAATTCTGGAGTGGAAGCTTTCACTATGTCTTGGCAGCAGATGTGAAGCCAAAATTCGCCTGGAGTCTTTCTCAAAGCACGGCTTTCTCGTGTGATACTGAATACAAGATGGCGCTTTTGACTTGCTGATGTAAATGCTAGCTAGAGCATCAGTTAGAGATCGATGCTTGTGATAAAAGTAATAAATATGAATTCGTAAAGTAAGCTTGCTTTCTTTTACCAATGTTCCAAGACCTCGAGAGGTTTCGAAAGGAAACCAGTAACACTAGGACACATGCGGAGCATATCAATTCGATAAATTTCCGCTAATAAATTTGTAGAGCCTGTGAGCAGAACACCATGGCTGTCTGCTAAGGTCTCGTTCACCATTGTTGCTTTCTGTGACTAGCCATTTGTTGGTGCTGCCCGCTAACTCATTCACGGCGTATTTTTCTCGACATGGCCTCATAGAATGTGAGGCCAACGGGATAGGTTTTTGCTCTCTCATAGTAGAGAACAAATTAGTCTAAATCATTAAAACGTTTTCTAAACACATGTCTAATTGTGCCTGTAGTAAAGGGCAGGCGGTAGCTCCTGAAAATGTTGGGTGAGCTTGCGTAACTGGGATGGCTTCATACTTTCTCATAGTACAGTGCCAAATACTCTAAATCGTTAAACACGTTTTCTATACACACGGGCCTTCTTGTGTCTAAATTAAGACGGCGGTGGTCTGGCTTCAACAACAAAATGTACTTTCCACCCCAGGAGCTTGTTTGTTGTTTTCCTTTTTTTATGAAGGGGAGGGACCCTCTGACTGCGCTGCATTTTCTAGCATTGGATGCTTTAAATTGGATGGGCAAAACAACGACAGCACAGAAAAAAAAGAAAGAAAGAAAGAAAAAAAGGAAAGAAAGGAGAAAGGAAACAAACAAAACAAGATTGCTAGGCGAAAAAGTTTGTTTCAGAGGCGTCATTTGAAAATGCTTCGTTGATCCGAAGGCAACCATGTTAACCACTCTGCTATCCAGGTACTCGCATAGCCACGAAACATACCGTTATATAGTGTACTATACAAGGGGGCGAGAAACGGAAGGGAAGTGAACAAAATATGTATCTCTTCACACGCAACCACCCAACCACCTACCCACTCCATCACACACACACACACACATACATATATATATATATATATATATATATATATATATATATATATATATATATATATACAAAAATAAATAATAAATAAATATATATATATATATTTATACGTATATATATATGTGTGTATATATATATATATGTGTGTGTGTGTGTGTGTGTGTGTGTGTCAAGATTATCTGGGCATCACTATGTCGTGCACGGGTGCACGCACAATCAGCGCAAGAGGAACAAGGGATTGAAAATTGTGTCTGAAATGCTGAAATTCAGTACGCCATGCAACGAGTGCAGGTGGGATATGTTCGCACTCCATCACTTTGCGTCCTCGCCTGAATTGCGGAATGGGTGTCGCCAGTAAATCGAAAGTATCTGCACTTGTCACCATATTCATGCCTCCAATCACGTCACCTCACTTGCGATAAGCAAACCGACAAGAACAAAATTTCTGTGTTACATCTTTTGCATCTTCCATGCCGAGAAAAAAGTACAGCTGAGTCATGCGTGTCTAGAGCACACCGTCTACCGCTTTAACTGCCATTTTCTGCCAAAATATGCGCATACCAATGCTGAAAGAACACGTAACATAGTTGAACCACATGACCTCTTCTGCTATAATATAAGCTTAATGGGAAGCATGTAGCTGTTGTGAAGTAGCACCTGCTGGCAACAGCATCCCCAGGCACGCGCCCCACTGCTACAAACAAATGTGATTACGTGAGTATACAAATCACTGAAGTTACTGCGCTTGCTGCTTCTGTACTACCGACGACAAAGCACCGCCGTTCGCACACGCGTAGCTCAATATTGCGGCGATAGCGCAAACGCGCGCCGCTGAACATTTCCGACAGCGATGGATCGGTCAGTGGGAGCAACGATATCACGGAAAAGAACCTAAGCAAAAGAAAAAAAATGCGAACACAGACTTAAGTAGGGACCTCACACTAACGGATAACGCGCCGGTTTGAGTGCGCTTTGTGCAGAGTGAGCTCTCCATCACTCTGCACACGAATGCATTAGGCTTCCTTGATGCGTATGTAAAATAGAATATGCCTGCTATCATTTCCGTTTCTGTAAATTATCAACATATTTATTGCGTATGTTTTGATTTTGAACAATTCATCTCTTCTAATTACAGGCTCTTATTAAAGCCGGTGCCGTCACGAGGCGCCAGGTAGTTCAAGCAGCCGAGAAATTGAGGGTAAGATGCACTTCCACTTGAATGAGTACAAGTCTGCTTGCACAGTAAATGGTGCAGACGAAATACTGGAAGCTCATGTGCTTAAGTTTCGACATGCGTTAAAACACCAGATGATCAAAAGAACCACAGCTATTCATTACGGCGTTTGACAAATTTATATTGGGGTTTCGGGACGTATACTTTTCACAATAATTGGCATCTCTAGTGTTAACAGTGCGCGATATATAAAATACGAGTCAAGGACTTGGTTTTACAGTTTCAGAGCAAAGTGGCTACTTGGGCTGACTGGTGGCATAGATTTCGCTAAGAAGCACTATTTTCTCGCGCAGGACATTTCAATTGATTGATATGTGGGGTTTAACGTCCCAAAACCACCATATAAATATCAGAGACACCGTATTGGAAGGCTCAGGAAATTTCGACTACCTGGTGTTCTTTAACGTGTACCCAAGTTGGAGCACACGGGCCTACAGCATTTTCGCCTTCATCGCAAATGCAGCCGCCGCAGCCGGGATTCGATCCCACGACCTGCGGGTGAAAAGCCGAGCACTTTAGCCACTAGAGCACCGCGGTGGGGCCACAGGACATTTCAGAACATGTTTATAACATGGAAAGAACTTGAAGATAACACCAGTCAGTCCGTAGCAATCATATAGCTTGTTTGTTTGTATGTTGCTTGTGAACACTGGCACATACCCATTCCGGGGAATCGGCCAGGCAAGCTTGGAGTAGCTGATATGTGAACACTATACAATGAGTGCCAGCTTAATACTAAAAATGGTAATGGAAAATATCAGCAAAATATATTTCAAACCTAAATCAGTAATAAAATAAAGAAGAATTGATAGAAGGAAGAGAGAGCTAAATTATGTCAGAAGACTGAAATTTTGAGTAGACCAGGCAGCTGAGTTTACCTCACTCGAATAAAATTGTGAAGAAGCTAAATTATGTCAGAAAACTGAAATTTTGAGTAGACCAGGCAGCTGAGTTTACCTCACTCGAATAAAATTGCGCAAAATCATCCGTGCGTCTCTCACCAAAAAATCAAATTACCCACATAGCCGCGCGAGGCCGCTACTTGTCCACGCGTTCACACGCGATCACACTGAAAAAACCACGCATTCGAAGAAAAAAAAATAAGTGCTCAAGGTCACGAGGCACGGTAGTTTGCCCCTACCACCCCTGCCTGTCTAGTTTACAGCGCTTTCGTCAAGACGAGAGAAGAGATAATTTAATTGCAGCATGCGACAAACCTTTGTAACTCTACTCACACTGAAATGATATTTAATTTTTTTTCTTGCGAATGAATAAGTACGACGTTATATAAAAAATTACTAAATTGTTTCTGTCTCTTCGCAGAATGGGAACAGAGGAGAGATACTGCCAGACCAGCTCTGTGTAAAGAAACGTTTACTGGGGGGGGGGGGGGGGGTATCGCAACTTTATCAATAATACAACTTCTAACTTTCAATAATGATTCCACTGAAACTTTCGGAAATATCTGAGATGCTGATAGTCTGCACATTTTGTAATACTCTCCATTATATACCCCAATAGCTACATTTCTATATCTGATTAGTATATTTTCGGGAGTACCGAAATCATAGGACGATCAAGCGAAGCAGCTCACACACAATTTCAACCTCTTCACTTCTTGTCTCAGGAACATTTCAGAGTATGTCTCAGTGTGCCCTGTTACCACCCAGTCAAAACCACAGAACAATATATTCCTGCGATATCAGCAATCAACGTCGTTGTACATGCGTCCTCCATCTGACGTCTTGCAGTAGTCCATAAAGATATTATGTGCGGGAAAATATTCTTTCTGTCAAATATGCAAAAAACGTTTTCAGAACAAAGTAATTTTATCTGTACCCATACAGCACTTCTTTCAAAAGAAAATACTCTTGGAAATGCTGTCGTGCCCTTTCCACATTTTGATATCCTTAAGTTCTCATTTGTCAAAACAATGACCATCTAATTGTTGGCTACCTCCGGGGAAAAATTGTAGTGTATGACGAAGAGTCTAGTGCATGGGCAAGCACTGTGTTCAGCTCACATGACTGTTCGTGTTTAGACAGGAGGAAGGCGCCTTCCTGAAGATCGCATGAAGATCCGCTACATCTCACTCTCCTTCTCTCAAAAATAAGAATAATTCTAGTCTGTTTTGTGTACCCTAGCTTGTCACCTGTTTTGAACCTCGTAATTAGCCGGGCTGTATTAATATAACAGGTATGACAAGCAAATCGTAACTGCTCTTCACAGTTCCCGTAGAAGCAAATGTATTGAAAACATTGTTTTATAAAAGTGAAATTCGTAGCCTATGAGTACGGCGAGCATAGGGTGCATAAGGCAGCCGCAGGTGAGGGAGCTTTCTTAGCAACTACCAACCAAGGTAGTCCAGTGATTCGAGTACACTACTGCTGACACACAGGTTGCGTTGTGGAGTCCCAGCCGTGGCGGCTGCATTTTTTAAGAAGGTAAAGATGCTATTGGACTGTGCTTTTTTATTTAGGTGCATTATGGAGACCGCCAAGTGGTCGAGATTTCCTGAATTCTCCACTATATCATCTCTCGTAATCATGTCGTGGTTTGGCGACGATATACTTCATATATCTAGAGTTTAAGAATAACGCGAGGAAAACGGGAAGTAGCGAAAAAAGCACAAGACAAGTGTTGTGGAACACACAGGATAATGCGTGTCTTGTGCGTTCTTTACTGTGCCCTGTTTTTTCTGAGGCTATGCTTCAGCGTCAGTATATGTCAACTCTCCCAGTACTCTATAAATAGTTGCCTATAAAACTGTATTGTTACTCGTTCACGTTAGCCATACAAAAAAAAAAACGTCAAACTAAGGGCCTATTTGCTGCTAAATCACTTTGAAGTCCGTGTTGTGCATATTCTTAGAAGGTTTGAAAGAGGGGTTTATTTGTAAGAGCCACGGCGAGTGTCAGCCGGTACTGCAAGTCATTCTTCTCATCCCTCTGGTCCGCTGTTGTTATTGCTATTCCTCTGCTATAGAATAACCTCAATGTATTACTACCCAACCTGAAAATGAAGCCCCCACGGGCTTCGTTTGCAAGCGGGAGGGTCGCTGAGTGAAGGGCTTCAAGCGTGCTATATGCACGACTTCGATGATCGGCTTCCCCTGGCAGTGAGTCATCCAATCCTGTAATTCTCCTGAGATGATCTATCACAACATACCATCCAGCATAGTTAGAGAACAGTTTTGTTGCGATAGCAGTTATATGGACACTCTCGGCTGCATTTCGCCGTCTGCGTCGGCGTCGATGTCATGCACCGTACATATTTATATATATATATATATATATATATATATATATATATATATATATATATATATATATATATATATACGAAAGCGCAAGAAAGAAAAAATTCCAGAACACTCTGGCACGCAGAATCGAACGTGGGACCTCCGCGTCATGATTGCGAGTTGTTAACCACTGAGCCACCGAGACTTTTTTTTTTCTTTACAGGTGTTCACACAGAAACATGAATAATAAAATACACTTGGACCAATATTTAATCCTAAGTGCTCATATTAAAATTTTTTCAGATAGCACAACTCCTCTAACATTGTTAGCCAGCTGGATTGTTCTTCTTCTTGTTTATACACCTCAGTAATATACCGCATATTTGTAATGACGTTCTCCCGGCCAGGACCTATGTTATGGTCAAGATGTCTGTAAGCCATTGTGGTCTGCCAGATGCTGTGAAGGCTAATTAACATAACCATGTCGTATGGTATGCCGTCGTCATCATCCACACAGAGAAAGCTAATACCATGGCTTGTAATGGGGAGATCTTTTTTGAATGTTCTTTGAAGGATGTCCCAATGAAAGACAGCGTCCCAGCAATGAATAAACACATGGTTTGTTATCTCAGGTGTTTTACAAAGTAAACAATTGTCTGTCCACGGTACATCGATTCCCTTGTCCGCTAGCCACTGCATTACGGGGAGAGTCCCGGAATGCAATTTAAAAAACAGTTTTTGCCCCTGCTTTTACTTTCATCCTTTGGACCCTTTTCAAAACATCCTGTCCGGGTCCTCTATTGAACATAGATCTGTACAAAGGTGTTGGGAACAAGACATCATGGAGATCCCTGTACAGATTATTTCGCTTAACAGTGGCAAGAAATTTCAGCGAAAAGCGCACTTTCAAAAACTAAAAAGACTGTATAACTTCTCTAAAAAAAGCAGTCACATATCGGCATATATCACTGTTTGTAGACACAAGAAAATCTGCGATGCGTGATGACAGCCCTACTTTTATCACTGTTTGCAGAATTATGTTTCTTTGATCGCGAAGGAAAATAAACCGAGAAACAACTTGTCTAATAAATAAATGACATAAACCGACTCCACCATTGCTAACGGACTGGAATAAATTAGACCGGCTTGTACGTACCGACGGCGATTTCCACACAAACACAGCAAAAATTCTGGGAAGCTTCTGTACATTGACGCGTGATATACAGATAACTTGCATGACATACCAGTTTTTTGATATCAAAAACATGTTGCATACAGTCGCACGTGGAATATAGACAGATCCCGACCACCCGAGGCATTTGTTTTTGCCTGAGGGTTTCTGCTTCACCTTTCCAGTAATCCGCGTTGTCGCGATAGCTGTCCAAGGGTACACCGAGGTACTTTAGGGGTTTGCTTTCCCATTTTACGTTAAGGTATATCTCGGGCCTCACATCCCAATTGCCGTACCAAAAGGCAGTTGTTGTTTTATGCCAGTTAATTACACTGCCCGTCATGTCACAAAATTTATTTGCCATGAAAACGACTTCACATATACTTTGTCTATCTTGGCAGAGTACAGCCACATCGTCAGCATATGTGAGTAATTTCATCCCAATGTTCTGTAACCGAAAGCCTTGCACACTTCAGTTTTGAATGATTCATAAGCAAAAGGGTTCTAGGTAGATGGCGAATAACAATGCTGAGGCCAGGCATCCCTGTCTGA